TGCGCTTAGGCTGCCAACCCTGTGTTGCTTCCTTTCTGTACACACGGCCGGGCCACGGCCGCTCTGCGGGGGCGAACGGTGCCGGGAAAACCGCATCTTCCCACGCAGAGAGGAGCTCGGAGTGTGGGTGCGAAACCTGCGCCTCTCGGAAGAAAACGGAAAAGCTTCAGGGGAACGGGGCAGCGTGGTTTCTCGGATCTGACGCCAGGCAGAGGCGGCAACACCAGCGCCCTTTATTTCATCAAGAGTGTAACATGTGCTTCAAAGGGCACCATCATCAGTAAAAAGCAACCCACAAAAGGGGCAATATTTGCGAATCACGTGTCTGATGAGGGATTAATACCCAGAGCACACACAGGCTTCTAACGGGGCCGGCGCTGTGGCGTAGCAGGTAAAGCTGCTGCCTGTGATGTGGCCACTCCATGGGGCGCCGGTTCGAGACCCGGCTGCTCCACTTGGATCCACTTCCGATCCAGCTCTCTGCTGTGCCCTGGGAAAGCAGTAGAAGATGACCCAAGTCCTTGGGCCCCTGCACCCGCATGGGAGACCGGAAGAAGCTCCTGGCTCCTGGCTTTGGATCGGCTCAGCTCCTGCCGTTGCGGCCAACTGGGGAGTGAACCAGCGGATGGAAGACCTCTCTCTGCCTCTGCCTCTGTCTGTACTTCTGCCTCTCAAATAAATTTATTGTTTGAGAGAGAAAAAGAGGCAGAGGCAGAGGTCTTCCATCCGCTGGTTCACTCCCCAAATGACCTCAATAGCTGGGGCTGGGCCAGGCCAAACCAGGAACCTCGAACGCCGACCATGAGTGCAGGGGCACAGGGACTTGGCCATCTTCCATTGCTTTCCAAGGCCTAGCAGGGAACTGGATTGGAAGAGGAGCAGCTGGGACACAGGCCGTGTCTTAACCCACTGCCCCACAACACCAGCCCCAGTCAGAGAAAGGGACGCTTCTGAGTGTGAGTTTCAATCAAGGACACTAAGATGTTTGTAGCAAAGCAGCCAACGCAGGTCAGATGGCGAGTAATGAGGAGTGTGGATGACAAAGGCGGGGGAAGAAGGGGACAGGAGGACGGGCAGGTGGCCTTGGCCGCTCCCCGCCCTGTGGCAGCTGCCGTTTTGGGGGACAGTCTCCTCGTCTTGCTCACAGAAAGCGGAGAGGGGTGTGACCTGCCCGTTTCCATGGCAACGTCTGTGATGCCACACCGACTCCCAGGATGCCCTGGAACGAGGGGCTTCTGTGGTCCGTGCAGTGTGCCACGCCGAGGAGAGGGCCCCAGGAGCGGCTGGAGCGTCTTGGTTCCGGCTGCCATTCTGCTCTTTGTCCCGCCTTCCTGATGTTACCTAGAAAAACCAGCTCGTCCAAGAGGCAGAGCTGGGAGTCCAAGCCGATGGCCAAGGGCCTGATGGCTCTCCAGACCATGGCCGGCCGGGACAGCCGGAACCTGGAGGAGAGACTGTGCCGAGCCCAGCGCCACCTCAGGCTGCCCGAGGTCGTCCCCAGCCACCCCTGGAAGATGGTGTGTGGGGGGTGCGGGCTGGCAGGGGCTCATAGGAGGGCGTGGTCAGTGACTGGCCCCTCCTGCTTGCGGGGCCCACGTGCACCTGTCACAGGCAGGTGTTTCCCAGGGTTCAGGCGGCCAAGGGTCTGCGTGCTGATGGGGGCCGTTCCCTGCCAGCCCTGGCTTCCTCCTCTTTCCCTGGGAGGCAGCTGCCTTGGACTGCTTCCCCCTGCACACTGAGGCTCCCTTGCCCTGGATGGCCAAGGCCGGGGTGCGTGCTCAGGCCCACGGTGCCCAGGAGGGCAGCGGAGGGGAGAGGGGAAAGAACCCAGAAGGGCCTGCAGGAGGGTTCACTGTCCCTGCCTGAGCCTAGGAGCCGAGCCGGCCGCCTGGGCTCCGTAGCATCTGAGATGGACTTTGGCTGACAGCAGCGGTGCCCGCCAGGCTGCCCGGGGGAGGGAGCGGGGAGGGCGGCTGTGCACCACGCCGGGGCCCTTGCAGCCTGGGGCAGGCGGCGGCACCTGGGGCTCGTCTCTCCAGGACGGTCTCACGGCGCCCACTCTGCAGAGTAAACTGGACCTGGAGAGCCCCACCAGCCTCACGCCCGCCCCTGAGGAGCAGGGGATGGAGTTGAGCCTGCGGCCTGGCTGCCCGCAGTTCCACACCAGAGCCACGTCCACGTCCCAGCTCGGTGAGAGCCACGGCCCAGGGCCAGCGGTGCAAGCCGCCTGCCTCCTGGCTCGTGCCAGCCTGCGCGGGCCTCAGCCGCTGCCCCCAACACCTGCTCGGAGTGCGAGCTCAGGGGAGGGGACGCCAGCAAGACCACCTGGTGCGGGGGTGGTCACCGTCACCGCCGCCTCTTCTAGTCGGTGGTTGCTGGGGGAGGGGGGACGGGGCCTGCCCCGGGGCTGGGCTGGAGCCTCTGCAGGACTTCCGAGGGTGCGTGTACTGAGGAGAGCCCCACCCTGCAGGGGCTCAGGCATTCCAGGGGCTGCTCTGGGACCCCTGAGGCCTTGCTCTGATGCACCCATTGTTCAAGTCCACGTGTGGTGGAGAAATCTGCCGTGGCTCCCGCCTGGTGTTTACAAACGATAGGGCTGACAGCCTCGGGCCTGGAGACCTCGGGACGGGAGAGCCTGGCCGTCACCGCTTGTGCCTCTGCGCCTGCAGATTCTGCCACCATGCTGGCCCTCCCCAGGGAGGAGTGCATCGGCCCGGAGGCCAGGAGGACGGAGGACCCGCTCCTGGGAGGACGCGTCCTGGACATGAGTGTGGACGGTGAGGGAGGACCAGGGCCCGTGGGGTCCTGGGCACCAGGCCTGCTCCCCTGGGGGCGCGTCTGCGGGGCGGGCCCTGCCTTCACCGAGTGGCTGCTGAGTTCCTCTCTCTGGCGAAAGCGCGGCGAGGATTTTGTCGCCCGCTCGGCCGCTGTGCCCCTCACAGTGGGGCCGGGGACGCCTCCCTGCAGACACAGGCAGCCACTGCACCCCCGCTTCCACGAAGATGGACACACAGCTGGATGCCCCTCCTTTGTAAGGGGACCCAGAGCCTGGAGCCACCGGCTCCCCTGGGGCTCCGGAAGGTGGGGATTCGGCCTCAGTGGGGGGAGGGGGTGCTGAGGCCCGGGGGGGGGGCGGGGCCCGGGTGTCGGGGGCAGCAGAGGACAGACCTGGGGCCGGCTTCCAGCCAGGTGCCTCCCTCCTGGGATTCGCCACACATGGCTGGACGCTGCCTCCACTTCTCTCTCTCTCCCTCTCTCTTTCTCTCTGAATTGTTTATTTATTTGAAAGGCAGAGTTACAGAGAGAGAGAGACAGAGATCTTCTATCCGATGGTTCACTCCCCAGATGGCCGCAATGGCCAGGGCTGGGCCAGGCTGAAGCCAGGAGCTGGGACGTGAAGGGGGTCCGTGCTGCCGGCGTCCTGTGGGGGAGCTGGGGGGAGTGAGCCTGGTCCAGGGCGACCAGGGCTGGGGGAACGTCCCGGCCAGGAGGAAGCTGGCCGCCCTGGTCCCCCGGGGCTTTGCAGGGTGCGTTAGGTGCCAGCACAGCTTGTAGCCGACACGCCCTTGGAGGGAAGACCCCCAGGGTGGGCTCGGCCCAGGTCGCTGGTCGTGACTTCCGTCCAACCCGCAGAGTGCGCCTTCGCCACTGGGGCTGGACGTTCGGGCGATAGTGAGGGTGGCGAGAATCGGGAGACAGACAGACACGAGTCGGGTGGGCAGACGGGGCTGCTGGGCAGTCCTGGGGGGGGCGTCGCCGTGGGCACCCAGGGCGGATCCTGGCCGCAGCCCCCGTCTGCTTCCCCCCCAGGCCGCCCCCTGCCGTCCAGCAAGAGCCTCTGTGAGCTGAGTTACTTGTGGAGGTGCAAGGAGTCCCAGACCCGGAGTCCCAGCAGCAGCAGCCTGCAGGCAGCCCAGAGCCCCCAGCCCAGGAGGGTGCCCTGGTACATCTCGGTCATCCTGGAGAAGGTGCCCGCCCCGCGCGCCCTCACTCCACGCCCCGCCCTGGAGGCTCTGGTTCAGTGTCGGGTCAGCCGTGGCCCCAGACGCCCCACCCGCACAGCAGAGGCCCTCTGGGCCCACACACGTGGCACACATGGCCCCCGTGGCGGCTGAAGCTGGCCGGAACACGCCGGCACGTGTGACCTCCCCTGACCCAGAAGCTCCCCCTGTGTTTGATCGGGGAGACCATCGGCTCCGAGCCCCGGGCCACACACGGGTCGATCCCCGGGCGCTCTTGCGAGGGAGTCTGGGCCGTGTTTCCCCTCTCGCATCCCTCGTCCGATTCTGGTGTTTGCGCCGCTCAGAAGGGCCGGCGTAACAGGAGGGCGCTCTTCTCCCTGGAACGCTGTTCCACTTCCTGTCCAGCTCCCTGCTAATGCGCCTGGGAAAGCAGAGGAGGATGGCTCAAGTGCCCGGGCCCCTGCACCCGTGTGGGAGACCCGGAGGAAGCGCCTGGCTCCTGGCCTCAGTTTGGCTCAGCCCTGGCCATTGAGGCCATTTGGGGAGTGAATCAGTGGGTACAAGATTCTCTCTCTGCCTCTGCCTCTCTCTCTCTCCTTATTTTTTTTAAGACTTATGTATTTTTATATGAGAAGCAGAGAGAGAGAGAGAGAGAGAGGGAATCTCCCACCTGCTGGTGCACTTCCCAAATGGCTGCTGTAGCCGTGGCTGGGCCAAGGCCAAAGCCGGCAGCCAGGAACCCCATCCGGTTCTCTCCTGTGGGTGCAGGGACCCAACTCCTGGGCCAACTTCTGCTCCCTCCCAGCTGCATGAGCAGAGAGCTGGACTGGAAGCAGAGCAGCCGGGACCCGAGCCGGTGCTCCGGTCTGGGACACCAGCACGGCGTGTTAGGGTGGACCCCACAGTTGCCTCCCGCCGCGTGACGCCACCTCTGAGGGTGACTTGAGACACAGTCGTCTGCAGGTGCCCGGGCGCTTCAGAGAGGCCGTGGAGAATGGAGTGAGCACACGCGCTCATGTCGGTGCTATTTTTAAACATCCACGTGCAGCTTCTTCGTAGTATGGGTTCTCCATGAGCATTTTGAAGACCCCTTCTATGCATGGATTCCACATCGTTTTGCCCCAAAATCAACTTACCTTTTCATGCCATTTTCTGCAAACTTTTAGAAGCAGCCCCGCGTGTGTTAAAAGGATCGCAAGGTTGTCAGTAAGCCAGACAGCGGGGGAGGGGAGCCGCAGGTGGAGGGGCTGCCGGCGCGGCCGCCACCAGGAGCTCCGGTGTCACTGGGGTCTCCGTTCTCTCCTCTGAGCCCCTGGGGATGCAGGCCGCTCTGGGCAGCTCGGCAGGAGACCCGCGGCTCCTTCCCGCCTCGCGGCCAGGCACTGAGATGTGATTCCTGTCATGGCTTCTCCCTGCGCCGCTGAGCCTCAGAGGTCGAGGACAGTGGTAGGAACGGCGCACGCGGGGCCGACGTGTGACGCAGGCGGTTACGCCGCTGCCTGGGCTGGGAGCGCCCAGCCCAAGCCCTGCCACTCTGCTCTGACCAGCTCCCTCTAACACGCGTGGGAGGCCGCAGGTGACGGCCCAAGTGCTTGGGTCCCGGCCCCCAGGGGAGACCCCGGTGGAGCTCTGGCTGTGGCTTCAGCCTGGCCGCGGTGGGGGTGGGGGGTGGGGGGGCGGAGCCAGTGGCGGAGGCCGTCTCTCCCTTTCCCTGCGGCCGCTCGCTCCCCCCTTCGGGTTTCACCTGCTGTTCTTTCCCTGAATCCCTGCGATGGCCGAGGCCCGTGTCCCCCTCGTCATGGCAGTGGAGACTCCGCCTCTGTGCCGGGCTCCATTCTAGCCTGCTCTCCGGGGCTGCACCGACGTGCCTGAGGCTGGGGCTAGGTAAAGAAGAAAGGTTCGGGGGCCGGCCCTGTGGCGTAGCGGGCAAAGCCGCCGCCTGCAGTGCCAGCATACCCTATGGGCACTGGTTCGAGTCCCGGCTGCTCCTCTTCTGATCCAGCTCTCTGCTGTGGCCTGGGAAAGCAGTAGAAAATGGTCCAAGTGCTCGGGCCCCTGCACCCACGTGGGAGACCTGGAGGAAGCTCCCAGCTCCCGGCTTCAGATCAGCCCAGCTCTGGCTGTTGTGGCCAATTGGGGAGTGAACCAGCGGATGGAAGACCTCTCTCTCTCTCTCTCTCTCTCTCTGCCTCTCCTTCTCCCTCTGTGTAACTCTTTCAAATAAATAAATAAATCTTTAAAAAAGAAGAAGAGGAGGAGAGGTTCATCAGGCTCCCGGCTTTGGAGCTGAGAGTCCACCCTGGGGCAGCCCCTTCGATCGGTTTGGCCTCTGGCGGGGCCCTGGCTGTGTCACACAGCAGCCGGCCTGGGATGAGCAGGTGCCAGGGGGTGACGGCCAGGTCACGGGGTCACGACGGGAAGCCAGAGAGTGCAGGACATTGTCCCCGTGAGAAAAACCTCAGGGAACCCCATCAATCCCCGGAGACTGCACCACCTCTCACTAGCCCCTCCCCTTAAAGGGCCACACCGGGGACCACACTTGCAGCACATGGACCCCCCCCCAGGGAGGGGGACACACTGAGACCACCCCCCCCCGCCCGCAGGGCCCAGGGCAGCAGACCCGCCCCCCTGCTCTGGGGCGTGGCTGGAGGTGCTGTGGCCGTCCAGCCCACGGCTGCTCCGTTTCCTGCCAGGACCGCCGCCTGCGCCGGCTGGAAGCCGAGATCCAGCGCCTCTCCAGGCTGGAGACCCAGGTCCGGAAGAAGGAGGAGGAGCTCCTGGCGCTGCAGGAGGAGAAGGAGGCCCTGAGGAGGCAGCTGAAGGGGCTGCTCCGGAGCAGGGGCCCCGAGGCGGCCCCGTCCCCTCCCAGGAGGGTGAGCCGGCCCCGGCGGGCAGGGCTGCGGGCACCACTTCCACCGCGCCCCGGGCACGGCCCCAGGGCCACCCCACCCCGGGACCTCGGGGTTTGGGTGACAGAGGTGGGCGGGAGCGTGAGGGGGGGCGGAGCCACGAGCTGGATGCCTGGGCATTTGCCGTCCCCCCTCCCCCGCTGCCCCACCAGGCAAGGCACGCGCTTCCCGCCTTCGGCTCCTCCCTGGGACCTGGGGCCCTGCTCCCCTCAAAGTGTGGAGGACGGGAGGCTGGCGTGGGCCTCCTGGGCAGCGGGGCTCGGGTCGCCCTGACCGGGCGGCCAGTCCCTCCCCCGACTCCCAGGCTTGGCCTCGGCATCCTGGTGGGGACACGGCCTGCCCCTGCCCTCTCCTGGTTCCCGGCCTGGGCTGCTCACCTGGTCTTCCCAGCATTCCCATCCTTGGTTGGACACGGCCAAGCTCATGCCAGGGGCAGGTGGGGGAGGGTCAGAGCCAGGCTCGGGCTGTGCCGAACGCCTTGAGGGCATCGGGGCGCGTGCTGGGCCAGGGCCGGCAACGACGCACAACGCGTGCCAGCCTGAACCCGGCCCTCGTCCTTCTGGTTGGGCTTGCTCAGCCCGCAAGGCCCCTCCCCCACAGAGCTGCTCCACGACGCGGCACCCACTTCTGGTCACCCGCTTGGGCGTGGGGACGCCGCCTGCCCCCTTCCAGGGCGGGCGCCGTGTTCACGCCAGCGCCTTTGCAGGGGCGGCCCTCGGAAGCCACGCTGAAGCTGGGCAGGCTGAGCATCCTCAAGGCCCTGGACAGGGACGAGGAGGAGCCGCAGCCGCGCACTGAGGTCTGGCCCTGCCCGGGAGCCCCCCAGGCCGCTGGCCGCGGATCCCCCAGGGCTGTCCCGGTTGGTGCGGATGCTACACGCAGCCCTGGCCGGGGCGGGCCCTCCGCCACACTCCAGGGCAGTAGCGGGGGGCGGGGGGGGGGCGGTGGAGGTGGGCTGCGAGGCCCCAGGTCCGTTCTAGTCTCCTCACCCAGGAGGCACAAGGCTGGGAGCCCCTGAAGCCTGGACCAGGCTGCCGGCAGGTGTACCCCTCTCCCTGTCCACCCATAGCAGCCCTGAACGAGGTCCCCCTGCCCCCGTGCAAGAGCCCCCACCGCCTGGGGCGCTCACCTCCCCCCCACCCCTTCTCCCAGACGCAGGAGGAGAGCTCAGCGCCGCCGGCCGCCCAGGAGCCGGGGCTGGAGGGCGTCAAGGAGGAGGAAGTCCCGGAGCCGGGGCCTGAGCCGGCGGAGCTCAGGAGACTCAGGAACCAGGCGGGCCAGCAGGGGGCTGCGCAGGAGAAGGCCCGCGAGGGAGAGGAGGAGGAGGAGGAGGAAGAGGGGGAGGAGGAGGAGGAGGTGGAGGAGGAGGAGAGGGAGCTGACGGAGGAGGAGGAGGACGTCTTCAGGTACCAGGCGTACTCCCTGACCGACACCTTCGAGGAGGAGCTCATGGCCCAGCTGGAGGAGTACGAGCTGGCTATCCTGGAGTTCCAGCGCGAGCTGGAGCTCACCAGGAGCAAGCACTCCCTGGCCACAGGTAGCGCCGTGCACGCGGCGGGCGGGCGGCCGAGGCTCTGCCCGCTCCGCGGCCCACGCCCCACCCCTCTGCGCACCAGGAGCCATCACGTGTCTGCAGCGCCAGATGGATTTCCAGGAGTCCCGGATGCGAAAGATGCACATGGAGAACGAGGCGCTGCAGAAGGAGCTCCGGGAACGACGCCAGCAGCTGCAGGCCATGTCCGCCAAGGTGGCTGCGCGCACACGAACCGCCGGCCGCCGCGGCTCGGGGAGGCACCGCCCGAGGGACGCTCTGAGCTCGGGGTGCGAGGCGGCTGGCCCAGGGGCCCACCCGGCTGCCGGGAGGCTGAGCCCCACGAGCCCGGCCACAGCTCTGCACCGCCTCCTGCCAGAACGTTTGTCCCTGGGCGGCCCCTGGCCCCCTGCGTGCTCGGGGGGGGGGGGGGCTGCTAACTCACGGTGCTGCTGACCCACGGCGCCGCTGACCCACGGTGCTGCTGACCCACGGCGCTGCTGACCCACGGCGCTGCTAACCCATGGCGCTGCTAACCCATGGCGCTGCTAACCCACGGTGCTGCTGACCCACGGTGCTGCTGACCCACGGTGCTGCTAACCCACGGCGCTGCTGACCCACAGCGCTGCTGACCCACGGTGCTGCTGACCCACGGCGCTGCTGACCCACGGCGCTGCTGACCCACGGCGCCTGCTTGCTTTGTTCTGCTAAGCATCTGTAGTTGTTTCGAAGTCGCTTTCCTAATCGTCTGAAGAGTCGGATCCCCCCCAAGGCCTGTCTATCGTGACCCCTCCCTTCCGCTGCTCCTCCCCCACGGCCACTGCTCTCAGTTCTTCTAGAAGGTTCTTCAGGGCTCTCTCTCCATATCCGGAAGTGGCGTGCTCAGAACACCATTCTAGATTTTTCCGCATCTTCCCTCTTTCCTCCCCTCCACGCCCCTCCCAGCGTTGCTGCATCGCATCCGCGGGATCGGTGCGCGTCTCGCCAGGACACGGAGCCACACGCCTGTAACTGAAGCCAACGCTCTGAGAAGCGACACTAACATTCATTACAGAGTTGTGGCTTTCCAAGATTTATTTATTTACTCTGAAGGCCAGAGTTACAGAGAGAGGGAGAGAGACAGAGCGAGATCTTGCATCTGCTGGCTCACTCCCCAGATGGCTGCAATGGCCAGGGCCGGGCCAGGCGGAAGCCGGGAGCCCCATCCAGGACCGGGCGGAACCAGCAGGGCACCCCAGTGCCGGCCCCTCTAGAGCCATAAGTTGAGGGCTTTCCTCTTGGTTTGATTGGATTCCCCGAAATCCAGGACACCGGCAGGATTTCCTGCCTGGGAGGTGACAGACACAGCGCTGGTATTGCAGGGGACAGATGCGGGCAGCAGCCCCGCTCTCCACGCTCAGCAGCCACATGTGGCCTCCTGGGCCTGGGGCCTCTGCAGGGTCTGCCAGGGTGGAGAGCGGGCAGGGACCCAGCGGCTCGAGGTCGGGCCGCCTCCCTCCCTCCTCAGCCTCCCCGTAGATGGGCTCCGGACAGCGTCTTCCGGGGGCCCACCCAGGTCCTGGTCCTGCCGGCTCTGCCACGTCAGAGGCCACGTGGCCGTCTGCTCCCCCGAGCCGTGGGGAGGGCGGGGCGGGGCGGAGTCAGACGCCGCCCCATCTGTGCTGCGTCCAGGGCGGCCCGGGAGCTGACCGCTCGCTCCTGTCTCACAGTTCTCCAGCCTCCGCGAGGACAAGAAACACCTGGAGCTGATGGGGCTCACCGAGAGGGACAACCTCCTGCTCCGACAGGTGACCTCCGGGACAGTCCCGCCCTTGCCGCCAGCCCCGATGCCTCCATGGTGTGGGGCTGTGGGGGCGGCCGGGCCGCAGGAAGCCAGCGGGAGCTGCCTGGAGGTGGGCGGGACGAGATGGGCTCGCTCTGCCCTCCCTGGCACCCCCAGCAAGTGTCGGAGCTGGACAGCGAGCTCGCCCGGCGGGGCCTCCTCATCGCAGAGCTGGAGGCCAAGGTCGGCGAGCTGCAGGCGCAGGTGGACCTGGGCCAGAACCACCTGCACAGGCAGAAGCAGCTGTGGGAGGACCTGCAGGGCAGGAACGAGGTGACCCGGCAGGCGGAGCAGCAGGCCCGCGTGGCCCTCGAGAGCACCCAGGCCAGGGTAGGCCGAGCCCCCGCCCGCGGCCCCCGCACGGCGCCGGCCCAGGCAGCTGTGCGCACAGGGCACTGAGGCAGGAGGGCTCAGCAGGCCCCGGGACCCCAGACCGGCTCTGGGCCCCGCCGGCTCAACTCAGGCCCTGCTCAGCGCCACGGCGGACGGTGGACGTGAGGGCAGGCACGGGGCAGGGAGGAGCCACGCATCTGCCTCTGAGGGCCCTGGGCGCCCAAAGGGAAGGCGGCAGCGAGCTGGCCTGGACCTGGAACCCAAGCAGAAGCAGAGGCGGGGTGGGGGGGGGGAATCCCAGCACTGCCCCCGCCCGGGAGAGCCCGGGGTCGCCGCCCTCGGGCTGGCTCAGACGTCACCGCGACCCGGTTGTTCCTGCAGAGCTGGGCTTCAGTCGGGCACCTGTGCCAGCGACAGTGCCCGGCTGGCAGAGGCACAGCCTCAGCTTGTTCCCGGCTGAGGGTTCTGTGGCCCCAACGGCGGCGGCGGCTGTCTCTGCTCACCTCCGGGGGTGGCCTGGGCCCTGGCACCAAAACCCCCAAGACCCTAAAGGCCAGCTGCCTATGTCCCCAGCACACCGTGGTCCCCGGGAAGTGGAGGAAGGACCTGTGAACCCCCCGGGGGTGGGGGTGGGGCACGGGAGCTGCAGGGACCTCCCCCGGGGCCTGATCTGAGTGGGGAGGGGGCGGCCAGGGGTCGCGAGGGGCTTTTGGACTGTGCGGGTTTTACTTCTCCAAAGTGCTAGGGGAGAGATTTGGGGTTCGGCGAAGGCCGCCCGGGTCTGGGTTCTGACCTGGTGCCCCCAGCTCAGCCCACCCCAGGTTCCTGCCCCTGAAGCCGGGCGCGGTGTGGCTGGTGCGGCTGAGCCTTTGGTGCCTGGTGCGGCGCAGCCGGCTCGCCAGGCCCTGCCCCTAAGCCGGGCGCTCTGTTCCCTCCGCTCGCAGCTCGAGAGGCTGAGGAATAAGATCCTCCAGGCCACCTTCAGCGTCACCGGGTTCAAGTCCCTGTCCACCGAGATCACCGACGGCGACATCCTGGAAGCCCTGCAGGTCCGTCTGGGGCTTCTGGGCCAGGGCCGGGACCTGCCGCGGGGGCAGAGGGAAGCCTGCTCAGCCTGGCTGTGCTGCCCACCCGCGCACAGCGACCCCAGGGACTGGGCCGGCAGACCCTCCCTCCCAGCCTCAGCCACCAGGCGCCCCAGGCACAGGCCGGGAGCAGCAGGGCCCCGGGGCAGAAAGTATGCACGGTTGGGGTTCTCGCAGGCACAGTCGGCACCCCGGGGGGCTCCACACTCCCCCAAGCCGCAGGTGTAAGGGGAGGGCAGGGGACCCAGCTTCTCGCAGGCCTGGCCTCCTGCAACAGGGCTGCCCTTTGACCCCAGCAGGTGCCTGGGACTTTGCAGCCTGGGGGCGGGGCAGAGACACTCAGGGGGCAGGGCCTGTGGCTTTGTTCCTGCTTTTTGGAGGAAGGGGGGCATGTAGGGGAGAAAAGAGGAGGGGAGTAGGGCGTGCTGTGGGGCGCGTGCTGTGCCGCCTGGGGAGAAGCTGGGGGGAACATGAGGGGCTGATCATGTGCCCCCCAGGGGCCCAGGCTGAGGGAGACACAGGGTCTCCTCTACACGCCTCCCTGTTGGCCTGGGCTTTGCCGGCAGAGCCCGAGTGCCACAGAGCCGGCTGCACGTGCCACCAGCACCCCACCCTTCCGCAGGCCTCTCCGGGGAGCGCAGGGAGGCAGCTGGGGCCCCCTCCACTGGGCCCCCTCCAGGCCGGGCTCCCTCCACTGGGCCCCCTCCAGACTGGGGACCCCCTCCCGGCCGGGCCCCTCCAGGCTGCGTCTCGTCTAGAGGATCATCACGGAGAGGAGCGACTTCCACACGCAGCTCAAGCAGAAGGGCGTCAAGGTGCCGCCGCTGCAGCAGTCGGAGGCCGCGCTGCCCATCAAGTCCAGGAAGACCACGGCCAAGTAGAGGCCGCGCCCAGGCGGCCCCGGCCAGAGCCCCGCGCGCCGGAATTAAACCTGCTCTTGGCCGCAGCCTCCTGCTTCCTTCCTGGGACCCTCGGCTCCAGAACTCACTCCGCCGGCGGCCCCAGCTCCTTCCCCGGGAGACCCCACACTGAGCAGAGCCCCCCCCCCCCACCGCCCCGGCCCCCGGAGGCCTCGGCCCAGCCCCACGCCGCCGCCTGCTCCCGGTGGCCGCGCCCCTTCAAGTCTGGGACCCCTCGACGGGACCCCGAGGCCGGCAGCGGGCGGGCAGGGGCCGTGGGCGGGTCATCGCTCCTCCGAGCGGACCGGACAGCCCGGGAGGGCAGAGACCACCGCGTCTCCTCCACCTCGCGCCGGCGCAGCGACGTGCGACCCTCGCGCAGACCCGGGCCGCCCGCCCCGGCCGCGTCGCGACCGCGGGCCTCTCCCCAGCGGTGCCCGCCCGGCTGCGGCGGCCCCGGGGACACGATGGGGAGGGCGGGCACGCCCGGCCGGCCGGAAGGGGACGGCGCCAAGGGCCTCCGGCAACCCCCTGTGAGTTTGGGCGGTCCCGCGGCGCTTTCAAGACTCGGGGACCCCGGCTCTTTGCAGACCCGAGCCCCAGCGCTTCCGACCCCGGCCTGCCCCGCCCCCGCGAGGCCCCGCCCCCAAGTCCCCGCCCCTGCCCCCGACTCGGTTCTGGCTCCGCCTCGCCCACCCCAGCTCCGTTCCCGCCTGCCTTAGGCCACGCCCTCCTCATTCCCGCTGCCACCCCTGCTCCAGGCCCCGCCCACCCGGACTCCCGCCCCGGCCCCGCCCCGCCCCCAGACCTGGAGACGCGTCTGCTCCGCGCGCAGCGGCCGGGCTCCGGGGCACAGGTGAGGAGTGGGACGGGGCCGCAGCTTCCCTGTGCGGCTGCAGGCAGAGGTGGGCAGAGCTGCTGGGCGTCCCCGGGGCCGTGGGGTGGTTGCCAGCCCGGATATGCCCGCTCAGCCCCCAGCGGCCGCCCGAGGACGCCCCTTGGGCCCTGCTCTTCCCGGCCCGGGCTGGGCCGTTCCTCTCCGTTTTCGTTCCGTTTCTCAAGGCTGGAAGCATCTGCCGCGCCTGAGACCCCGCTGGCCAGGCCCTGAGACCCCGCTGGCCAGGCCCTGACCTGCTCCGGAGGCGTCAGCGCCACCGGGACCCTCCCTGTAAGTGCGGGGTCCTCCAGGAGCTTTGGGGGGGGCGGAGCCGCTTGTGCCAGCACACCCAGGAGGCCAGGGCACCGGACAGGCCACTGCTGTGTCCAGCCAGGATGACCCGCGGGCCACTCGTTCCAGCCCAGTTAGCAGATCCCAGAATCCCGCTCTCCCAGGCCTGAGTGCCCCGCGGCCCCAGGCGTGGGCGGAAGTCGCCGTGGACATGGAGGCTCAGCCCTGTGGGGGCCGGGGTCCCACCAGCTCCAGTGGAGTCGAGGCAGTGAATGTCCTGCGAGAGCAGGAACCCTGGGACCGGGAGATGGAGGACCCCGAGTTCTCAGCGTGCCCCCGCCCCCCCGGCCCCCTGCCCCTGCCCCTGCCCCCCGCTGTCCCCCCCCCGCCCCCCAGCGTGACGGTGCCCTGGGGTGACGGCTGCACCTGTGCTCCTTCAGGAGTGGCCCTTGTGCCCGGGGAGGCGGTCAGTGGCCCTGTCGCTGTGCTTTGCTGCTGGGGCGCCCCCAGCGCCCCCCCCCACCGTGCACCCCAGCCCGCTGCCTGCCACTGGGTGACATGAGAAAGCGGGATGTCCCCTGGGGCCAGTCTAGAGCAAGGCTGGGCTCCTGCCCACCGTGGGGAGGGGCGGGCCTTGGGCAGCCCCCTCCAGGGGTCTGGGGGAGCAGAAACGGCCCTCCAGGAGCGCCTGCCCCCTCCCCATCTGGCGTGGCTCTTGGGTCCTGCGCACAGGACCACCGGGAAGCCGGTCAGCATTTCCTGCTGCTGGGGGCCTGAGGCTGCCTGCCCAAGGACCCCCACAGCTGGGCAGGGGCATGGGGGGCCCACCTCGTCCCGTTCTACAGCCTGGGAGAGCTCTGGGAGTCTGGTGCCCCTGCCTTCTGTCAGCTCAGGAGGGTGGAGGGCTAAGGAGGTGCCGAGGTCCAGTGTCCAGCATGGACTGGGGGCAGCCGGCAGTGGCAAGGGCTGTCCCAAGCCACGCCCTGCCTGCAGTCAGGGTGCCAGGCACCACGCGGTCAGTGCTAGGAGAGATGGCCGGGACCCTCCTGCTCCTGGCACCCATCTGTCCCCCACCTCCTCACCTCTGCGCGGCCTGGACCTCCCAGCGCACTCAGAGGCGGTGTAGGGGCGGGGCTGCATGGGGGGCAGGCCAGGGCACAGCTGCTGCGGCTGCCCAGGACTGAGCAGCCCCCCCCCCCCCCGGCCGTGCCAGCCACCGCCCTGCCCCATCCCTTCTCTCGCCAGCCTCTCGGGCCAGCAGCCGCCTGTCTGGCCGGGCTGTGGAGGAAGACGGTTATCAGGTGCACCCGTCCTCTCCCAGAGTGGCACGGGCTGTGCTGGCCGCCCCTGATAACCGTGTGTCTGGGGGCCCCGGGGGGCCGTTCTGAGGCTCGCACATTCCTGAGGTTGGGGCGCGGGCCTCTGGGCCCCCGGGGTTGGAATTCCCCTCCCAGTGTCACCCTTGCAAGCTCCTTAACCGCTCTGCGGCCCGGTCACCTGTCCAGTCCGGTGAGATGGTGCCGGGAGGGGAGCCGGCCCACTGAGTGTCCCGTCCCCTACGCCCAACCCAGACGGTGCCTCGGCCAGCACCCCGCATGGGGCAGTGCTGGACGGAGAAGTGAGCCTGGTCGCCTGCCCCGGCCCCGCAGCATGCAGCCCCAGGAGAGTGGCGTCCACTACAGCAGGTGGGAGGACAGCAGCCGGGACGAAGTCAGCATGGCGGCCACGTCCGGCACGGAGGAGGCCTCGTGTTGTGACAGGTGAGGGGCCCGGGCCCCCCTGACCGACTGGCCGTCTGCCCCGGGGGCCACCTGCTCCTTTCCCTTCCAGCGCCAGTCCCAGGCCCCACACGTCGGGGGGCCCTCCTGTGCTCCTGGCCTGGGGCTCACCGCCCGCTGCTTCTCGCCCTAGGACCTCCCGGAAGCTGTGCACGGGCAAGCTGGGGGTGGCCGTGAAGGTGCTGGGCGGAGTGGCCCTCTTCTGGGTCGTCTTCATCCTGGGCTACGTCACTGGCTACTACGTGCACAAGTGCAAATAAACACCGCCTGTCACCCACACTCAGGGCTGGCTGGGAGGTGGGCGCGGGGCGGAGCCCCCCGCTGCCCTCCACACACGACCGCCCACGCACAGAGCCCCGGGGCACAGGAGGACACCGCGTGAGACCCCCGTGAGGCCTGACGCACCCGTGCACTCCCACACAGCCTCTAGCACCTGTGGCGGAGCACCGGGCCTGCCCTGGCCCGAGCCCCAGCCACGCCGGGCGCTGGCCTCCAGCTGGGGCTACTCCAGATGGGGGGCTCCTAGGCAGACTCCCTGAGCGCCGCCCCCACCCCAGCCCCCAGGAGGGGTCCTCCCCACGGGCCCTCTGCAGAGCTGTGTGGCCCCCTCCCTGCCCCGGACTTGAAGATGCTTCCTGTGCAGGACGTGGAAGGGACCCCGACCCTCCTCCCAGCCTCCCTCCCACCCCACCCTTCCCGGGCTGCCCTCCTCACGGGCGGGCCCAGCACTGGGCACCAGCAGGATCCCAGGAAGGAGCTGGCTCGTCCCTGCGTTCCCTGTGGGGGAGGGCCTGCACACGGAGCAATCATTAACCAAGTGCTGAGTGGACAGCGGGTGACGGCCTCCCGCTGCTCGGCCGGCCGCCCGTGGCGAGGGGACGGCTCCTCCCTGGCAGCCCCGCAGGACCCCCTGGTGGAGACACGGGCAGGCCTGAGGTCCGGCCAGATGTGGCTGGACCTGCTCTGCCCTGGGGCCACGCCAGGCACCCAGGGCCGCTGTCCCACCTCCCCGGCCACCCACAGGACCCCTCTGCTGACTCAGAGCCCGCAGGGCCATGTGGCGAACACCCTCCGGAAAGAGGCCCGCCCCAGGGCGGAGGGCAGGTGACACGGGGGCAGCGCTGCCCCAGGCGGGGAGCCCCGGTGCCCTGGACTGCAGCATGCACCGGGTCCAGCAGTCCAGTCAGCGCAGGGGCTCAGCCAGGCCAGGCAGGGAGCACAGGAAGCTGTAGTCTGCCTCCCAGAGGGCAGCGGGCCCACCCCGTCTGTCTGCTCACTCCCGGGCCCACCCCTCTGTCTGCTCACTCCCAGGCCCACCCTGTCTGCTCACTCCCGGGTCCACCCCGTCTGTCTGCTCACTCCCGGGCCCACCCCTCTGTCTGCTCACTTCCCGGGCCCACCCCTCTGCTCACTGCCCCGTCTGCTCACTCCTGGGCCCATCCCTCTGTCTGCTCACTTCCGGGCCCACCCCTCTGCTCACTCCCGGGCCTAGGGCCCACCCCGTCTGCTCACTCCAGGGCCTAGGGCCCACCCCATCTGCTCCCGGCCTGTCCTGGGTGGTCTCCAGGCGGAGGTCCTGCTGCTGTCACCGCAGGAGGCCTGGGCCTCGGCACTGTCTGGCAGCCAGCTGGAGCCCCCGCCAGAGCCCGGGCACTGCAGAAGGGGGACTGTGGGGAGGGGCCGAGGCCACTGGGCCCGGCCCCCCACAGCCCCGCCTCAGCTCTGGCCAGCAGTCAGGCGAAGCCACAGGACACAGGGGGAAGTGGTGAAAGGAATGGACAGAGCCTGGCGCTGGCCCAGCGCACCTGGCCAAAGCCTTGCGTCCTCACCTCAGCCGCGGGGGGCAGGGGCGGCCTCTGGGGTCAGCATCGGTCTGACCCGGCCCTGTGTGCCTTAGATGGAGCCACAGTCCGCCCGGCCCGCCCCCTGCAGGAAAGGCTGCGGCAGAGCCGCGAGGGGCCCTTGAGCCACCTCCGTGAGTGACCCCCAGGCCTCAGGCCCGGAGCCAGGCTGCCCAGCGCCAGCACAGCAGGGAGGGCGGGTCCTCTGGGCCTGCGGCTTCCCCCAGGGCCCTGCCTGTGACGGCTGGCGGTGGCTGCGGGCCCAGAACGCACTGTCTTTTTCTAGTAGGAGTTCAAACTATTCAGATTTCTTAAGAAATCTCTTTTAAAGATTTATTGGAACAGCCGAGCGATAGAGATCTTCCACTTGCTGGCTCACCTGCCAAATGGCCACAAGGGCCAGCGCTGAGCCAGGCTGAGCCAGGAGCCCGGAGCGCGGCAGGGGCAGCTGCGCCAACACCCGCACGCGCGGGGAGGACAAACAGGGCCGGAGCTCGAGTTTTCGTCAGCGTTCCGCGGCAGCGCGGACGGCGGCACAGGCCTCGCCGAGCTGAGCCACACAATAACCTGGCACGGCTTCCAGAGGCCGGGCTCGGCGAGTCCCGGGAGGAAGCTCTGGCTGCACGGCAGGGCAGACCTCCGGCCAGCACCTGGGGTGCGGGGGGGCCGGGAACCCCACCCCAGGGAGAAACCAAACAGAAGGCAAAGCTGCCACACTGGGCCTCGGCCCCCCGTTCCCTGGGGCTGGGAAGGCCCAGTGGGGACGACTGGACCGGGTCCTGCGGCCCAGCCACGCCCCAAGCTCTAGAAAGCCCCTGCTTGGTTCTGGCGTCACCAGCAGAACCCTGGGCCTCTGGTTCTGAAGGTCGAGCCCTGGAGCCGCTCCGGGAATCTGCCATCTAGACAGCCGGTGTCGCCGCGTCATCGTGATGGAAGCTGCGGGCAGGCTCCTGCACTGGGCAGCGACGGCCCCTCCGGCTGGCCAGGTCTCCCGCCCCACGACTCCGGGGTTGGGGACGGGGGTGCTTGGCAGGCGCGCACACACACAGGCCGTGACCCGAGATCGGGAACCACACAGAGGTGGTGCGGGTGCCGGGGACCACGCACGAGGCCTTCTCCTGTCCCCGCCCGGCTGCTCAGAGCCGGGGCCACCGCGTGCTCCTGCAGCCACATGAGGACGCGCCGTGGCCACCAGCCAAGCCGCAGCCTCAGCACAGCTGCCCTGAGGCAGGGCCTCGGGCTGCTGGCCTGCGGCCCCAGTGGCTCCTGGCCCCAATCCCAGTACCAAGAGAAACCACCTCTAACTCCAAGGTCCCGTCAGAAACCTTCGCTGGACACAAACGGGCTCCACTGCTGCAGCCGGAAAGCGAGATGTCCCAGCCGTGGCACGGGAAACCGGTCACCCCTAGTGTCGCGTCAGCTTCCCGGGAACCGGGCACTCAGCCCAGCCAAGGCCCGGTCCCCTGTGAGCGCTCAGCCCCCGCGTGACCCAGAGCACCCGGGACGGCTCATGCGGGCAAAACGCGAAGGCCGTGTGGTGGAGGGCCACCGGCGTCGCCGTGGACGGCCACCGGACACCTGACCAGCGAATGCAACGTCCCAGAAGATGCAGAGGTTAAAAAGCACAAATAATTTAATAGCGCCACACAGGACCTCCACCAAACCGGCGGCACAGGGGACCCCGGCCCGCGGAGCCTCAGCGGATGACGGTGACGTGGGGCGGAGCGGCGGCCAGGTCGGTGGAGGCCGGGTACACGACCCTCAGGTTCCCCTCCAGGTCCACCACCCGCACCTGCTCCAGCACCAGCGGGGCCTGGCCGTCCCTGGCCGCGCTCGCGTCGGTCTTGGGGTCCGAGCGCTGGCCCGGGCTGCCGTCGGCCTCGGCGTCCGACAGCGAGCCTTCCTCCTCGGTCTCCAGTGTGTACTTGTTCAACTCCGCCATTTTCTGCAAGCGGAACGGGACTTCTCAGTCTGGGGCAGCGGCCCGGGGGCCGGGCGGCAGGCGCAGGCGCAGGCCCTCACTCACCAGGACCAGGGCGTCCATGACGTCTTTACAGATCTGCAGGCTGGTGGCACTGGTGACTTCCAGAAACAAATCAGACGTCGTCTTCTTAATCTGTGGAAACCCAAGGAACGTTTCTGAGGGGAGTGACGTCATCGCACGCGGACAGCAGCAGCTCCGCGCTGACTCAGAGGTAACCTGGAAAGCCATCTCCTCCCCAGGCAGGCTCGGCTGCTCCCGGCTCGGCCGTGGCCCCCGCACCTCGCGCGGACAGGACACGTGCGGGCTGTTCTCCAGGGAGAGGCGCAGGGGACGGGTGGGCCGACCCTACCTTTGTCTTCTCGCTGTTGGTGATCGGGGGGAAGGAGATGGTGTCCCCCGCGGCGTCCACCAGGCAGGGGTAGCTGTCTTTCCCATCCAGCAGGTGCAGGTACCTGTGCGGGGGCAGCGCCTGCCTGAGGGTCGGAGCGGACAAACCGCAACCTGCCTCGGACGGCGGGCCAGGGGCACGCGCTCCTCACGCTCCCGAGGCCTGCACCCAGCCCGCGTGTGTCCCTGAGCGGTGCCCGATCGGAGCAGGTCCGGGATCCGCACTGGCTGACGGCGCCCAGCGGCGCGGGGCCTGGATAAAGTGCGTGGGTTTGGCTGGCATCTTGTGCTCGGCTGCTATTGGCTGGAACAGCCCTGCCCCGTCCAGGGGCCACCCCGAAGAGGGCTGCACGCCCCCACACGTGCGGGGCCACCTAGGGCAGACGGGACCCCCGCCCCGCCCCGCCCCGCCGGGAGCCGCGGCTTTGCTCAGGGCACCTGTGCAGGCCGGAGACACCCTGCCGCTTGCGCTGCTTCCGCTGCTCGTCCGCCTCCAGCTGCAGCTGCCGCACCAGCTCCTTGGCCTTGGCCTCCCTCCGCCCCAAGGGGACGATCTGTCAGGTGGAAACGCGGGACGGCCGTCGTGGTCACAACCACACACGCCAGGGCTCGCTCCCCTCCCCTCCCTCACCGGCAGAGGGGGGACGGGGCGGTCCAGCCCAACGAGGGGCTCGGCCCCCGAGGGCCTCACCACAGGGCGCTGCCCAGGCACGGCACCAGGAGCTCACACCAGTCAACCCCAAACGACCTAGGTGCTGGCTAAGGGTAGCGAAGGCAGCGTCCGAGTCACGCGGCCTCCGCCGAGCACTGTGCCGGCTGCGCGGCCTCCTCGGAGGCAGCCCTGGGCGTGGTACCGGATCCCACCGCCCGGGCTCGGCCTCGCCGTCAGCACGGGGGCCTCTGGGAGCGACACTGGGGAAGCCCCGGGTGCGGGCAAAGCGAGCAAGGGTGGCGGACCTTGAAGTCCTCCGGCGGCCGGGCCGCGTAGAGCAGGGGCCCGCGGACGGCGTGGAGGTCGTGGGTGGCGATGGTGGCCGCCGTCCTCTTCTCGCACAGGTCTTCATGGA